AAAAAACACCAAGAAATTCATAAGTGTGACGAATGAGTAAGACTCGACAGGGAAAATAACCATAACACTTATCATGAAAGGATGGAAAATGTTCTATACCTAACTTTCCAAATTGGCGTGGGATTGGGAGTTTGCTCAATTGAGACACAACCCAATTCCCTTTAACAATGATCATCCGCTCTCTTTCCATTTCTTCTCGGAATTGGGAAGGTCCGTACATATCCTTTGCTAAAGAGAGGAAGTAAAATAAAAATGACCAGGTTTGGTCCCGTGCCTAGAGATGGTATAGGTAACGAGTAGGTCAGCGAGAGTTAAGTCAAGACTCTCTAACCTTCGGCGGACCAAAAGTGAGGAGACTATTTGAAGAAAGTTAGGGTTTACTTACAGCGGGGCAAAACCTAGCTTATTAAAGACCAAGTAATAGAAGAGGTGAAGAGGAAATCGAAGAACATTAAGGTGCACCACCGATAAGAGCAATTCATTTTCTCTGACACCCTCACCAGAACTAAAATCAACTTCTTTGGGGTATTTAACAATTTCTACCCCCTCGGGGATTTCAAATTCCTCCATTACAGACTCAATGGAGAATTTGAGATGACGGGTAGATAAAATCATCTTTCACTCCTCTTTGGTGAAACACCATTTGACCCGTAAGTAGATACTTCGGCTTGAGGTCGAGAAATATCCATTTGACTGACTGAATCGTTCGCAAATACAAGGCGCTCACAAACCCTAGGAGGAGGGACCCTAATGAGAATTGGGGAAGATGAGGGAGTGGACTCAGAATCTACAATTTCTATATGGTCAGAGGTGGGAGAGTTGTTCATTATACGAAATCAAAGAAGTAGCTGGAGAACTAACCTGGAATCACGTTGAGTCAATGAGAACAATGAACGCAGTGAAGTTGAGAGCAAGTTGTGAACGAGCCTTTTAGTCAGAATAGCAATAGACACTCCTTGAACCACCTTTTGTAAAATTGGACATCGCGCAACTTCAATTTCCTTTTAATTAGGAGCCGTAGTCTAATTAAATAGAGAATTGGGGGTAAAGTGTGGAGGGAAAAATTCCCCTCCAATGAGGATTATCCACATCATCACACTACAAATTTATGCTGTATATATTACGAGGGCCCGACCTGTATCAAGCCCGCATTAGGAAAGTCAATCTAGAATGAGCCTAAGTTGAATTTTTTTTTCTATCAAGATCACTGACATTGGGCATTCGGCCTATTTATCAAGCCCAAATGATTCAAGATAACTAGAGCCCAAGCTATATAAGAATAAACAAGTCTTGCTGGACAAAGGATTCAATGAAGAAGGCAAGTTCTATGTAAGGAAAGTTTTGCATGGAGAGAATTATAAAAAGAAAGAATTCTAATTGTGAAGAATGTAGTGTATGGAATGAATTGGAGGACAAGCAAGGCGAGTCCTACCATAATTCTACCACTTTGTTTCATATAAAGAGAGGCCTAGACCTCCAATAAAATGATCGAGCAATATACGCTTGTCTCTGAGTATTATAATTGCTTGTTTTGAGTGAGTTGTATTTTTCTTTTTATTTCTTTTAATAGAGAGAAATTTTGCACCTATAGCTACTACTTTTTAAACAAAGATATTCTTTGCTCAATTTAATTTTTGAAACCAACTGAATTCCTTTTATATATCTTTGTAAGTCTATACATTTGTAAGAGCGTAACTCTGAATGAATACAGCTTAAAATGTAATTCAATCTTTTACTGGTAATACCTTTTCAGAGAAGTGGCATTCCATGGTTTGTTGACCAATCTTCTAGCCATAGTCTCTAGCACGTATGCCCCTTTTCCTATAGCTTTTACCACTGTGTAGGGGCCTTCCCATGGTGACATCATCTTTTTAACAATCCCCACATTCTTTTTCAGAACCAGGTCACCAGGTGCAAAGTCTCTATGCTTCACCTTTTTGTTGTGGCTGTTCACGAGTATCTGCTGATAAGATGCGAGCCTTATTACCGCTGCATCTCTTTTCTCTTCCAACAGATCAAAGTTAAACTTCAATATGCTATCGTTCTGCTCTTGATTCCACACTAGACTATGAACAGTTGGAACTAAGTGCTTGACCGGTATTACTGCCTCGGTGCCGTATTCCATAGCGATTGGGCTTTCCCTGGTCAGCCGTTTCAGGGTTGTTCTATAAGCCCATAAGACGTTCAGAAGCTTGTCCAACCATTTCCCTTTTTCATCTTCAAGTTTCTTCTTGATACAAGCAAAGATTGTTCTGTTCGTGATCTCAGCTTGACCATTTGCCTGCAGATGACTGACCGCTGCCAACTTTTGATTAATTCCATACTCTTCTAACAACTCCCTCACTTGTTTGCTGTCGAGATTTGTCTTATTGTCCATAATGATGGACCTTGGTATGCCAAAGCGATAAATAATATTACTCTAGATGAAGCGTCTTACTTGAGTTTGGGTCACACTGGGGTATGGTTCTGCCTCCACCCATTTGGTAAAGTAATCTCTTGAGAGCAGAACGTATTTGTTCTACGACTTCGCGGTTGGTAGAGGGCCAACCATATCCATCCCCTATTGCGCAAAAGGCCATGGTTTGGCCATTACATACAAGTCTTTAGGTGGTTAGTGGATTAATGGTCCGAACCTTTAGCACTTATCGCATTTTCTAGAGAATTCTTCTGTATCTCGTGACATGTTCGGCCAAAAATATCCTTGTGTCATCACTTTATGTGCTAGAGATCCTCCTGAATGATTGCCAAATACACCTTCATAGATGGTTCGTAAGATCTGTCTAGCTTCTGTGGGGGTAACATATTTCAAGTACAGACCCGAGAAAGACCGTCTATACAACTGATTATGTACAATAGCATACTTTGCATCATTTGACCTGATTTTCCTTGCCTCATCCTTCCACTCGAGCAACACGCTATCCCGGATAAAAGTCATGATTGGGTCAATCCAGCTCGGCTGATATGGTATGGCATTAACTTGCCGAGGGTCCGAACCGGACGGTTCATCAAAGATGGATGGCTGACATAACACATCAACTGGTATAACCCTAGCAAATGTTTCTCCAGAACTTGACGCACTATAAGCCAATTTGATCTGCATCTTCATTATATTCCCTCGACAATTGGATGAATTTAATCTGATTGAAGTCTTTTGCTTCTCGTAGGGACGGTAGAACGGTAGGCCTCCATTGTTTTATCTTTGGTTCCATATTCCTTAGTCACCTATGGATTGATCAGCTGTGAATTGCTAAAAATAACTAGATTTTTAACCTTCAATTCTTTAGCTAGCTTCAGTCCAGCCAGCAATATTTTGTATTCAGCCTCATTATTGGTTGCGCTGAACTCAAGTCTGACCACTTGACTCAGTGTGGTGCCTTCTAGCGTTTGCAGTTTGATCCTAATTCCTACCCCCATTTGATTTGAAGAACCATCTACAAAGAGCTTCTATGAAGAACCTCCAGCATCTTCTTCTATGTCTTCAACATTATATTCCAGCAGGAAATCAGTCACTGCTTGTCATTTGATGGCGGTTATGGGTTCGTATGTTATGTCAAATGAGCTTAACTCTATGGCCCACTTCATCATTCTTCCTGACAGATCTGGTTTATGCAGGATCATCTTTATAGGAAAGGGAGTCAGAACGACGATAGGATGGGATTCAAAATAATGCATGAGCTTCTTTTTTGCATTCACCAATGATAGGATCACTCGTTCGGCCTTTGAATATCTTCTTTCTGGCTCGGAAATTGTTTTGCTAACATAAAACACTGAGAACTGCTTACCTTCTTCACAGCGCACCAAAACGGTACTCGTTGCGATGCTGGACACACCAAGGTACATAAAGAGCTTTTCACCTGGCTCAAGGGCTAATAAGACTAGAGGGTTCCACATATATTTTTTTAAGATGGTCAATGCCTATCTTTGCTCATCCCCCCAGGCCTGCCTTCCATGGCCTCTTATTATATCAAAAAACAATTTGCAATGATCTGATAGCTTAGAAATGAATCGGTTCAGTACAGTTATTCGCCTTGTGAGTGCTTGCACTTCTTTGACCATTCTTGGTTTTACATTTTTTATCAAAGCTTCTGCTTTGTCCGGGTTTACTTTAATACCTCTGTTATTGACCACGTGTCCCAGGAACTGTCCAGAACCCACGCTAAAGGAGCATTTGGTTGGATTAAGCTTTATTCCATAACTCTTCAACACCCCGAACACATCTTACAAGTGTTCTAGGTAATCGTCCTTCTTCTTACTTTTTACCACCATGTCATCAATAGATGCTTCTACAGTCTTCCCAATTTGATTTTTGAAAGTCTTGTTGATCAGCCTTTGATAAGTAGGTCCAGCGTTCTTTAGTCCGAACGGCATGACTTTGTAGTAGTAGGTTCCTCGTTCGGTGACAAAAAAAGTTTTCTCTTCATCAATTGGGTCCATAGGGATTTGGTTGTAGCCTGAGTAAGCATCCAGGAAGGTTAGCCATTCGTATTCAGTAGTGGCATCCATCATTTGATCAATCTTTGGCAATGGGAAGCTATCCTTCGGGCATGCTTTGTTCAGATTGGTGAAGTCAATACACACTCTCCATTTCTCATTCTTCTTTTGCACAACAACGACATCTAAAAGCCAAACCATATACTGAACTTCTCTAATGAATCCTGCATCTAACAATCGATCAATCTCTTCAGCTATGATTTGATTATGCTCTAGGGTAAACCTTTTCTACTTCTGTATTACAGGCTTGGCATTCGGGTCTACATTGAGGGAATGACAAGACACGGAAGAACTGATTCCAGGCATGTCGGAATGGCTCTAAGCAAACACACCTGCATTCTAAGATAGAAAATCGATTAACTGTTGTCTCTCCCCCACTTCAAGCCCTGACCCTACCCTTGTGGTTCGGTCTGGCTTCTTACGATTGATCTGCACGTCAATGAAAGGTTTTTCGGTCAAGACCGAAGGCTCCTCCGCCCATTCTTATTGGGTGGAGGCTCCTGTAATTGCTATCTTGGGCTAGCAGAATGGATGGGAGCTTTTCCCTTTCTAGTAGACTTCAAAGTTACAGAATAACACTCCTTGGCCGCGACTTGATCTCCATAAATATCAATCACCTTGTTCCCATCTAGACCCAAACATCTCATCACTTGATGCAGAGTTGATGGAACACCCTGGACCCTGTGAACCCACCCCCTTCCCATCAAGAGATTATAAGATGGATGGATCTCAACGACCACAAAACTCTCTGTCAGAACTCTTTCAGCAGCTTGTACTGTCAATTCCACCATACCAATGGGCTCCACCCGTTTCCTATCGAACCCTAGTAGTGGATTTTTGGTGGGTTTGAGCTTTTCTGGCTTGATCTCGAGCCGGTCAGACATTATTCTTAGCATGACATTCGCACTGCTCCCAGGATTAATCAGAACTCTTCATACCAGGCACTTCGCCACTGTCAAACTAACGACCGGTGGATCTTCATGAGGGGTCTGAACACGCAATAGGTCTGTTCTATCAAACTTTATCTGCGCTGATGCGTTCTGCTGGTACAGAGCATTCACACTGCATACTATTCTCTTCATTTACGCTTGGCAGAGACGCATTCTGAGCAGCTTCTCTAACTTTTCGGTCTGTTCAGGTCAGCCATGAATTACATTGATAATCCAAACGGGCTGAGCATTATGGTAACTTGGTTTTTGATTTCTCTTAACTTGCTCAGCCGGTCAGTTCTGCTCCTATGTTAGCCCTTGAACGTATCCTGCAAATTCTCCCATTGTAATCAATATCTCTACTTACCTCCTTAAGTTTCTGCTTTCATTTATCTGATGACCAAAATCATTATAGAAAACACAATGTTTAGCTTGATCTTTCTGTTCGAGAGGTTGTCTAATTGGTAGTGGAGAGCGAAACTTATCTTTGTTTTCTTGATACAGCCTTGTGAGAGTGATTTTAAGTGGAATGTCGGGGCCTCTTTTCTGCTTTCCAGGAGCTCTGATACAATGACACAGCTTGTTTTTGCCGGATATTGGATTTGGACTTCTCCTCTGTTGAAATTATCAACATCTTCCTTGCATTAGCTGCTTCTTCTTCTTCCAAACGCATGAAACCGTCAGCTCTCGTTCAGCTCATCCATGGTCTTTGGCGTATTCACCACCCGACTTGTGTGGAACAGTGTCCCTCAGTTCATTGCTAGCTTGAATGCTTGAACTGCTATGGATGGATGACATTCCATTACAATGCTCTTGACAAGGTTGAACCTGGTGAGGAAAACTTGGAGCCACTCATCTTCATGCTGCTTCATTGTAAATAGGCTTGAAAAATCTTTAGCCGGGCGCTTATTCCCATAATACTGGCTTATGAACTTGTCATATAGGTCTTGGAAACTAGCGATTGAACCTTTTCCCAAATTCTTGAACCAATTGAGCACTGGCCCGGTCAAACTTGTAGGAAAGCACTTGCACATTAAAGGATCATTCTCCGTGTTCAGAGCCATTTTCAACTGAATGTGGTAAATGTGATCAATTGAGTCACTCGTTTTATTAAACAGAATGAAAACTGGCATGGAAAACTTCCTTGGGTTCAGAGCGTTCAGGATCTCGTCAGTAAATAGAGAGGCAACCGTTCTTACTGACGAATGTAGGGCTTCGTTCTCCCTTAGATACTTTAAAAATGTCTTTTGTTCAACAGACCCCCTATCCAGTTTGCTATATTCGTATGTGGCCATTGATGGTCGATAAGGAGGATCATACGACCGTTCCTCTGTTAACTCCTTCTGCCATAACGGTGTAGCCTTGTGGAAACCATACTCCATGGCTTCATCTCGCCTCAGCCTTTCTTGATACGGATTAAATGCCACGGCCTCTTCTCGCCTTATCCGCTCACGATGCGGATCTAAATGAATTGATCCTTCTCGATCCTCTACTTGATGAACATTTAGCGGTAAATCACCTGGCCTGATCTCTTCGCGGTGAAGATCCATACGATTGTTGCCTTCCTACTCACTTTGGTGAGCAGCATTGGGTTGCATAACTCGATCTCCTATTGGAGTTAGTCGTGGAATCGTCGGAGCATCCCAAAGCTCCATTCAGGCTCTCAATTCTGCATTTTCTCTTCTCAGGGCTTTGATCATGCTCATCAACTCATCAAGCTTTGACTGTTGCTATTCTCCAATGAATTTGAGCTCTCACCTCCTATCATCATTCCTGATCAGAGCAAAGTCATCAACTGTAAATTCCTGATCGGATTTGAGCTGTGTTAATGTGAACGTACTATATCTAGCCTCAAACCACCTGAATTTCAATCTCCCTTGGCCTAATCTGAATCTTTCCTGCCATGAATTCGTCAAATCTAGCTTTACTAAACAAATCACAATTGCGTAGATCCGACGTTAATCTCTCAAAATCAACTAGAATCAAGACTTTGCAAGACAAACCATGATTTCTCCGATCTGGATTCAACTTCCAGAGATCAAGCTTCTTCTTCACGAATTAGCTTTGATCGAATTAGTCTTAATTGAACACGAATCAATCCTCATCATTTCTCACGGACGGCGCCATTGAAGATGCAAGAAATTTCTCTCTTTATTTTGACAAAGTAATTTTACACTTCAAAGATTTTTCGATCCACTTTCCCTCTCTTTTCCTTCTATTTATAGACGGTTACAACCACTCTTAAAGCTTTCTAACTGACTTTCTTGTGATGGGTTGGCCTTGTCAACTTTCCTTCGTTTTGGGTCCAATTCCTTTCATTCTACTTCGGGCTCATCTACTGATCTCCTGGTTTTGGGCTTACTCAGTGAGGACTTGCTTCATTCAGTTGCACTTACCCGACCCGCTCTTAGCAATCTGGATCGTACCAGGCCCAGGCCATTTTTGGTATCCTCACCTACATAACCTCCCACAAACTAGTATGAGGCGAGTACTCATCAAGGTAAATAAAATCTATACAAACAAATATTAGATTTTTTTTTTTTTTTTTCCGTAATTGTTATTTTCCAAATCAATCTTGTATTTTTATAATGGTTTCCAAGCCCATTGCTCTATATTTAATTTTACACAAACTTTAATAACTTGGGGAAAATAAATCTTTCGAATCTTCTCTATTGTCTATTTGGTTAATTTAAATATGTTTGGACTCAAATCACATAAAAAACATGTTAAAACCAACATTTGGGCTAAAATTAAGACATGAAAACTAAAAATAGAATAAGCTAGAGGCTAATGTATTGACAAAATTAGGTTATTAAATAAAAAATGCTAACACTCTACTAATTATACAAGTATAGAATAATATATTATCCCTAATTTTCTTGATAAAATACCAAAATTAACAAGCAGATTGTAATGACCCAAACCCAGTGGGTCCAGATCACTACCCGGATCCTGACCCGACCCATAAACACCCAAGGATAAAATGGTCTATATGACCCGTATAATGCATTGGAGGTCTAAATGAATCCTTAATAGTAATTTCTAATCACTTTAGATCGCTTAAGAACGAGAGAACCAACTATGATCACTATTTAGGTCACTTAGGGTTACAAGGATAAATCAGTCTTTTTGGACCGTGCAATACATTAGGGATCTTATAACTATCCTCTAGGCTATATGGTCACTTGGGATCATTTAGAATGGAAAGAAAACAACTTAGTTTGAGACCCTGATTAAGGGCTAAAAAAGGCAAAAATGTCATTTCCGGCCACTTCGCTCATTTCCCGACGGGGCTGTGGGAACCCTAATCTCTCAAATACCTTGTAAGATCGACATGAAGAGTTTCGGGACCAACAGAAAAAGTGAAAAAAAAAAAATGTCTCAAACCTAACCACGATCGCTCGTGTGTGTCCTACGAGAGATCAGAGGACACCCCTGTGTGCGCGAGGCATGCCACATGCGGGGGACCCCTGCCGAACGAGCGTTCGTCCTCCTTGGATGAGCGAGTGTCCCAACCCAAAGATAGGGCTTTTTGCCCCTTTTACCCTCAGAACCTGTTCCCTGAGCATGTTATTGGTCATTTTTTACCCTTTTGCCCCTGTCTCAACTCACAAACGTGCATAAATGCGAGATAATGGAATTAATACAATAATTTACAGTCTTAAATTATAAAATTGTTCCGAATTCAATTATATGATTCCAAGTTACAATAAAATACTTCAAATGAATACAGAATACAAATTACACCTTGACGGTCGAATTTACGATGCCTAATATGAATTTACATCAACTATGCGTTCAATACAAGATAATAAAGGCAAGCTTCCGTTAACCCTATCTACGCAATTGAGGGCTCGTCATTAACCATGTGGCCGTCATGACCTGAAAAATGTTAAAGGAAGGGTGAGCATGGAGGCTTAATAAAAGTAGCCTAAGGCGTCAACTTTGGACTCCCTTGAGCCAAACAACACACAATAGGATAAGAGAACCGAGATCATGCATTGGGGTACATAGAACATTTACAGTAAACAACTATATAAGTAAGTCCATCAGTATCAATCTCATAACTCAAATGCCAATGTGTATGAAATGAAATGGAATACACAATGTTCCCTGCCTTGGTCTCTATTGACCCAGACTTGGCTTCTACTTGCCCAAGCTTGGCCTCTACTGGCCCTAGACTTGGTCTCTACCGACCTAAACTCACTTTTGAAAACCACTAACTGACTTTACTGAGGCGATATTGATAACTATCCTTGGTTCCAAATCTGACAACCATTTGGAGCCTAGTCTCAACTTTTTCATGTCCTAAACCGGCACGCGCTCCCTCTAGGTCGAATTAGCACGGGACTCACGAAATTTGGTTCCCTTTTTTTTATAAAAATCCTTTTCTCATTTTCATTTTCCCCCATGCCATGCATATGCATCAATCTCATCATTTATCCTCATCTTTATCAAAATCACTACAATGGTGTAATACCCTAATTTCAAAAGGATAGTCTCGGTATTGTTTTGATTGTTTTAATTGCATTTTAATTATTTATTTGATTTCTTGGCTAATTGTTTACTATTTAATTGATTTAATTATATATGTGTTAATTGAATTATTTGTTTAATTAAACTTGTATGCTAAAACGTGTATTCGATTTATTTGTTTAAATTAAATTTTACGAGATGGTCTGTATTTGTTTAGGAATTTAATTATTTTACGTTTATTTTATTTTAGTTTATTTTTATTTTTATTTTATTTTTCTTAAGGAATTGGATATGAATAATAATAATGGATCAACCAATTGGGTCTCATGGACTACTCGGATAAGGGGTTTAATGGGTGTGGATAATTACCCATGAAAAGTTGTATATGTATATATAATAAGGAAAGTACTTTAGTAATAATCTAATGTATATTTATATATTATATATAAAAAGGATTACACATAGATGGTAACTAAAAT